CCCGGGGCAGGGCCTCCCCGGGAGGTGCTTCCCGGGCCGGGCCACGGCAGGGCCAGCCTGGGGGAAGGGAAGATGGCTGCTCTGGGGCAGGCCCGGCGCCTCACAGGCCTGTCTTGTGCTCGGGATTCAAACTCTTGCCATCCCCTCTTCACTATTTAGCATTTATTGTGTGTATTTACACCGTACCAGGCAAAAATTCCAGCAAACGGGAAGGCAGGAATTGCCGCTTCTCGGCAGGTGTTGGTTTACCTCACAATCTCCTCAGAACGCTGCTGTGAAAAGCATCTTCCTCAGGCCTCCAGCTGCACTGCTGACTTTAACTCAAAGCAAATAAATGTCTTCCTGAGCCAGTGTGTGAGCCCAGCCATGAACTGGCATGGAAACACTGGCCAGAAGGCAGGGACCTTGAGATTCCCTCTCCATCCTCTACACAGTACTCTGATCTCTGGGTTCGGTTGTTCTAATGCAAAGGCCGGACACATCTTCACCTGGTTTTGCACCCGCTGTGCAGAGTCTGCTGTGTGTGCACAGCTGGGTTTCAGATCAGCTCTTCCATTTACTAGCCTGGTATTTCACAGGAACTAGTGGTCTGTTGTACCCACCCCACTCAAACCCACTGGATGTCAGAAACACAAGCTCTATGGACTGTTTCTTCCTCTGACAGACTATTTTACTCAGTCTGCACTTGTTCCTGTTTTGAACTTGGATCTTCATGCAGCTTCCCAAAACGTACAGGAAATCAAAGCAACATCACAGGTAGTGGGGAAAGAGGTGGTTGAGGAGGGGTTCTCTCTAAGGACAACTGAAAACTACAGCTGCAGCCTGCTGTATTTCCTAGACCACTGAGACTAACTACTAGGGGCCTCTTGCTGACAGGTTGGGCTGTGGCCGTGCATGTGAGCGGGACGGATGAGAGGATCTGTACCCTCTGCACATGTGTTCTCAAACTGAAGTTACGGGTTTTTAACGTGCTTCATAACACTAATGCACATCCACAGAGGCATGGACGTCCTCTTCCTTTCTAGGTAAAACTCTGTCTAGTCTTTGTTTAGAATTACGAACTTCAGCATGTTTAGGAGTATTCCTAAGTATAGCTGTTGGGCTTTTATGAAGGTACAAAGGTAGTGTAGAAAAGAAAGCAATACCTTAGAAACATTTAAAATGTCAGTAAATGAAAATTAGCTCTGTAAAACGTATTGATCAGTAGGCCAGAAATTACATGTTGTAGTGGAACATGGATTTTTCTCCTGTGCAACTGTTTTAAGGAAAACAAAAAACAGAAGAAGAAACTATCTCCTCTGTTAAATAGGATTTCTTGTAAACTACCTACAACTTCCCTCATGCTCTCAAATTGTTTAAATACTGAAAGGCATCAAATGGGAATGTGTGAAGGGATTGTGTTCAAGTACTTCTCCAATAATAGGGCACTTAAATCCATGTCCCTCATCAAAAGGTGAGCAGAAATGCTCCTGTCAACTTGCATGGGCTTTGCAGATGCTCTCTGTGAGATCTGGGATCAGAAGTTACTTCAGAGCTTGAGGTCGGAGGGGACATGGCTATCCTGGACCCTGTGTGCCACACATCTGGTTTTCTGAGTATTTCAAAAGAGTTGCATAACGTTGGCAGCTGTGAAATAAACAGTTGGTTACTGCAGTACAATGTAGTGGTAGTCATGATTTATCAAGCATAGAGGCCTGAAATTTGGCTGTGACTGGCGCCCATTCAGTATAAATCAAGCAGGGAGCTGTAATAGACCACGAGGTAATCCCAGGTGAAAGCCTAGCACCCACATTTCCTGG